TGCACACACATTTCCCATTACTTTTTAGGAGGGAAAAAGTGAGTCTTATAGAGCAAAAAATACGGTATTTCCTATTACCATCACCAATCAAAATGTCACAGTGAAACTTTTGTGTAGGAATTAAGACTGCAATGTAAATACAGATGGATGTGTATCTATATTGCTTCACGTATATCCAGTGAACTTGTAGTACAAGAGACCCTCACGCAAAGGAAACTGAGAAGGCAGCTAGCATACTCCAAAATAGCCAGAGCTTCTTTAAGAGGTCCATACAACAACGGGAAACATTATGCTTGCTCATTGTTAATGAATGCACAATATAGAAGACATTTCTTGGTTTAAGTGAGGAATGGGGAACCTTTTTCAGCTTGAGGGCTCCATAAGCCATTTTGACAGGTGTGTGGGGCAACTCACCTGTCTGTCGCCCAACATCATTAAGCTGTCAAATAACAACTTCAAAAGTGCTGACACAACCCACTTTGTCAACTTGCAGGCACAGTTTGGATTCAAACCAGGCCTGCAAAAGGATAGCTTTCCTTTGCAGGCTAGCAAAGCAAGTCCACAAAGAAAAGATGTACGTTTGCAAGAACAGTTTGAATCCAAACCACACCTGTAAACCAGCACCTTCAAAAGGGCTCACTGTCAGCACAGCCCACTTGCCAACAATAGGAGCACACTTTAAACTCTTATTCATTTCCTTGCATCCACATATTTACCTGCCTCAAACCTGACATCATGTATGATGGCAGCTGGGTGGGGCTTTGGGGGGAGGACAGCCTCCCAGGCTACATTGGGATATAAAAGCTCTATTAAAAATATTCTTAAATTAAACAAATAAATAATAAGCAGCCCTTGATAAAACATCGACAAAGCACAAAACTTAAAATATTAGTTTGACATAAGGAAAAATAATTACCACTCCCAAATATAATAATTACCACTCCCACAGTGCTGCTGCTGCACTGTGGGTTGGGAAGGCCGCTCCCTCCCTCGGCTGATTCCACCTGGCCCAGGGGGCGGGGCCTAGACTGACTCACCATCGCAACAGCTTAAGAGGCCTCAAGAGGCACCGGGACACGACTGCTGCTGCTGCACCATGGGGGTTGAGGAAGGCCGCTCCCTCCTGTAGGCCCATCCCACCAGGCTTAGGAGGCGGGGCCCATACTCGCCACCGCTCCTGTTTTAAAGACACGGGGGTTGCCGCAGCAAATGTTTAAAATGTTTTTATATATTTTAAAATGTTTTATAGGGGTTTTTACTTTTTACTTTGTTGTACCACAGTGAACGGTGGTTTTTATTGATGTATTTTTATTTTGTTTGTTGTATTTTGGTTGGGGTGGGATATTGAGTGGGGTGGGGATTTGCTTTTTGGTACAATTGGTTTGGTCTGTTTTGTTTTCTATTTTGTAAATGGAGGTTGGTTTAAGGCTTGGGATTGCGACCGTAGTGGGGCGAGGGAGGTATGGCGGTGGGGGCAGATGTCATAGGCGAAGGGGTTCGAGATATAGATACGCTCGTACCCCTTCCAATCTGCGCCCCATCCCGAGAGACGAGGGTAGGGTGAGCAAGGATTACTCACCTCCGTCACTGGTGTTGTGCAATGCCAGGTCTATAGGCAACAAAACCGCCACCCTGTGAGATTTCTTCATCTCGCAGGGGGTCGACCTGGCTTGTGTGACGGAGACCTGGGTGCGCGAAGGGGATACTGTTACCTTACGAGAGATGGCGCCCCCGGGTTTCTCCGTCCTCCACCAGTCGCGGACTGTGGGCCGGGGGGGAGGGGTGGCATTATTAATCCGAGAAGACTGTTCTTTCAGGGCTCTACCATCGCCATCGATCCCCGGCATTGAATGTGTTGGCCTAGTGTGGGGCTCCGAGGTGAGCTTGGCTGTCTGGCTGGTGTACCGGCCACCTAGCGCACCAGCAGCCACCCTGTCAGGCCTGCTGGAGGTGGTGGCCGGCTGGGCCTTGGAGTTCCCTAACCTATTGGTATTGGGGGACTTCAACATCCATGCTGATGCCATTCCCTCCTCACAGGCACTGGACCTGCTGTCTTCCATGGCGACACTAGGGCTCTCCCAGTTTGTGTCGGGCCCCACACATCAAGCAGGCCACACGCTGGATTTGATCTTTGGCGCCGGTATAGATGTGATCATGTCTCCTTCAATGAAGGTGCCATGGTCTGATCACTACGCACTGAAAGCCAGGATTGATTTTCCACCCCCACCCTGCTTAGGTGGTGAGCCAATTTGGGCTCGCCCGCAGAGGCTGATGGACCCTGATAGATTCCGTCAGGCCTTGCGGGACCTTGCTCCCCCTGGCGACTCATTGACTGAGCTTGTTGAGGGCTGGAATATCCAGCTCCTAGCAGCCATCGATGAGATCGCACCTAGGCGCCCTCTGCGACCCCGCAGAAACCGGGCTCCCTGGTTTACCGAGGAGCTTCGGAAAATGAAGCGGGACCTCAGACGGCTAGAGCGAATATGGCGGGGTGCCCGTGACGGAGCCTCAAGAACATCTTATAGGGTTTTTATGAAAACCTACGAGATGGCAGTGAAGGCCGCTAAGAAGTCCTACTTCTCGGCCTCCATTGCCTCCGCTAGCTCTCGCCCGGCGCAATTATTTAGTATAATTAGGTCTTTAACGTCCCTTGAAGGACAGCCAAATTTAAATAACAATTCGACACACAGCTGTGAGGCATTTGCGAGCTTTTTTGCGGAGAAGGTCCTGTTGCTCCGCCATGACCTCCCTGCCAATTTGGATACAATAAAGGAACTGGAGGCCCCTCGACTGTCCTCGGGTCCAGTATTGGACCACTTTGACCGGATATCCCCAGCCGATGTGGACAGACTCCTCCAAGCTGGAAAGCCCACCACCTGCCCTCTGGACCCGTGCCCGTCTTGGCTGATTAGAGCATGTCCAGACGAGGTGCGGGCCCCCCTGGGTGATATCATCAATTTGTCCCTTGGCACCGGGATATTCCCAGGGGAACTGAAGGAGGCAGTGGTGCATCCGCTCTTAAAGAAAACATCATTAGATCCTTTAGATCTATCCAATTACCGCCCGGTTTCGAATCTTCCATTCCTGGGTAAGGTGATTGAGAGAGCGGTTGCTGAACAGCTTGGTAGGTTTCTGGATGAAACATCGGCTCTCGATCCATTCCAGTCCGGCTTCCGCGCTGGCCATGGGACCGAGACGGCTCTGGTCGCCCTAACAGATGATCTCCGCAGGCAGCTGGATCGAGGCGGGTCGGGGCTGCTGATTCTTCTAGACCTGTCAGCAGCCTTCGACATGGTCGATCACGAACTCCTGGACCACCGCCTTGCCGACGTGGGGATCCAGGGCACAGTCCTTCAATGGCTGTGCTCGTTTCTCTCTGGTCGGGGACAGAGGGTGGCGCTTGGGGGGGAATTGTCATCGCGCCACTCCCTGGTGTGTGGAGTGCCTCAGGGTGCGATTCTCTCCCCGATGCTTTTTAACATCTTTATGCGCCCCCTCGCCCAGCTTGTCCGGAGTTTTGGGCTGGGTTGCCATCAGTATGCCGATGACACCCAACTCTATCTGTTGATGGACGGCCATCCTGACTCGGCCCCAGATACACTGACCAGATGTCTGGAAGCTGTGGCTGGATGGTTTCGTGGGAGCCGGTTGAAGTTAAATCCTTCGAAGACAGAGGTCCTCTGGCTGGGACGGAGCGATTTGGGATTGAGGAGGCAACTCCCATCTCTTGCGGGGGTGCAATTAGTGCCAACATCGTCCGTTAAGAGCTTGGGTGTAATCTTCGATACCTCCCTCTCTATGGAGGCGCAGATTACAGCTATAACAAAGGCGGCATTTTTTCATCTCCGCCAGGCTAGGCAGTTGGCTCCTTATCTCTCTCGCCCTGACCTAGCCACTGTGATCCATGCGACGGTCACCTCCAGACTGGATTATTGTAACTCGCTCTACGTGGGGCTGCCCTTGAGACTGACCCAGAAACTCCAGCGGGTGCAGAATGCCACGGCGAGACTCCTTACGGGGTCTTCGCTACGAGATCATATCCATCCGGTATTATACCAGCTGCACTGGCTCCCGGTGGAGTACAGGATCAGGTTTAAGGTGCTGGTTTTAACCTTTAAAGCCCTATACGGCCTAGGACCCTCGTACCTACGGGACCGCCTCTCCTGGTATGTCCCACAGAGAAATCTACGGTCTGCAAATAAAAACATCCTAAAGATCCCAGGCCACAGAGAGGTTAGGCTGGCCTCAACTAGAGCCAGGGCCTTCTCGGCCGCGGCTCCAATCTGGTGGAACGCTCTGTCACAAGAGACTAGGGCCCTGCAGGACCTGACATCCTTCCGCAGGGCCTGCAAGACAGAGCTGTTCCACCAGGCCTTTGGTCAGGGCGCAGCCTGACCCCCTCCTCTGGCAATCGGCAATCTGCACAGAATTTTGCTTGATGGTTGCCATTAATTTGACTTTAATTTGATTTGATTAATTTTATAATGAATGTTTTAGAATGTTGTTAGCCGCCCTGAGCCCAGCTTCGGCAGGGGAGGGCGGGATATAAATAACATTATTATTATTATTATTATTATTATTATTATTATATAGCATTGGTCCGAGAAATGTTAAAACGTTGTTTGCAAATCTGTAATATGAACACAATTAATAAAGCCAGCTGAAACAGAGTCAAATGCTTTGAAAAATGAAAATAAGTTACCCTAATTTTGGCAACAGTTGTCAATAGTAAAGAAACACAGTTGCTTAAATTAAAATTACTTAACAGAATACAGCATTACAAACTGATTAGCTTATTCCATAAAGTGAAGGGACTTTCAAGCTAAGCCAAAGTAATTAAATGTTTAGCAATAAAATTCAAAAAGCCAGTGGAAAGCAGGAATGAAGAGAGCAATATGGTCAGAAGCAGAAAGAGACGATGACTAAAGCGTCGACTTCAACAAAGATTAGATACTGAGATGATTTAAGTCCTTTATCTGCTTAAAAAAAAAAAAACTTACGTTCCGTGCAACAGTGGATCAAAAGGAGGATGCTGAGCTCCGTATACATGTTGAATACTAAAAAGGAAGAAAGAAAGTTTAGTACAATTACAGCATAATCCATCACCTATTTACATGGAATTTTAATGAAGCTGACTCCCTAATAAGTGTGTTTAGCAGGCTTCAAAAATAACTCACAATTTCTCTTATACAATAAGACGTTTTATACTATAAATTTATCCTGTTTATAAACAGTACTCCAGTTAAACTAAACCATACATTGGTAGGAAGGGATATGTTGCACTCTTTAACAGAAATATATTTTATATAAACAGATGAGGCCATCCAGCTTAAGACAATAAACATACAGGGGGCAACCATTTCATGCAGTGTTTCCATTCCTGGCCCTTGTGCGCATATAAGTTTGCCCTGCCCCCATCTGCCAAAACGGGAACAGTGTCAATTGGACATGCATCAAATGGTCACCTTCTGTACATCCTTTTAAGATTTGGATCATAGCTATACTGAAAGCACCTGCAAACACTCATCAGAGACAGGGAAACCAAGACCCTTATAGGTTGTTAAGACTTCACCTCCAATCAGCCCCAGTCAGCATGGCCAATAGAAGTGGTGTAGTAGGTGTCAGATCGCAGGCAAAACCCTAACATTATCAGATAAGCAAGACAACAATGTCAGCCCTCTCCACATTAAAATGCTTTCAGCAACAAGCTTGTTAAACTATTCTGTACTGAAAAGCACTAGATAGACCTTTGAGCTGATGATCACACAATAGGTAGAGATTCACCTACTGCTGCTTGAACGCTGTTTAAAATACTGTGTAAATTTGCTACCGCTCCAGCCCAAATCATCATTTCACCTGGACTTATTTCTTTTAACTATAGGGAATATTTCACAATGTACCACACTAATGCTTTACTTGCAAAATTCAATGGATTGGTTTTTATTAAACAACTAGGTGGACCAGGACCAAGTGAAGCAAACCCAACTAGCCTAATAATAGTCAAAAGCCACATTTGGTCACTGCACGTCTTGCACTTCTGTGATGTTTCCAGGAGAACTCTCCTGAAAAATCGTGCACAGCCATTATATATATAAGAAAACAGAAGAGTCAACTTCAATATGCCTTAGTTTCATTTTTGTGGTGTTTTAAGTGCCTTGCTTATAGTAGTATTGAAATAGAAAGCATACAACTCAAAATACCTGAATGCAACTTACTAATGTAGACTAGAATTAATACTTCAAGGACTTATCCCTGTCACACCCCTTTTCATCAAAGTTTTAAATGCTGGAATTATATACAATCTTAGAAGTCATAAGGACTCACTAATCTTGAATACTGCATTACTAAGAAATTGCATCTTAGTAGGCTAATTGTGAAACAAATAAGTCTACAGTTTGTTTTTACAGGTGTCAGAACTGCCCCAGGTCCCAGCTCACAGAGGACCAACGCCAGTCCGTTGCTATATTAAATAGTCTTTATTGAAGTTCAGTTTCTCATTTACAGCCACGGCGCGCAGCTCTACGTCTTAAACCCTAGACCGCCGAAGCTCCGTCTGAGTCTCCTCCCCCCAGACACCAGTTTAAGACCCTAGCCTTGCTCCACCTCTTTCTCTGCTCCCTCTTCCTCTGGGTCCGCCTGTCCGCCGGGGTTTTCCCCTTTCTAGACTCTTCTGACGCTGACTCCCCCGAGTCTTCCCCCTCCCTCCGGCGGGCTTTAGGACCTGGTTCCCAATCCGGGCTTCCTGCTGTCCCGCGCGCCTGTACATTTGAACTTGGCGCGCGCGCCCAGCCTGCCACCTTCCTTCTGACCGTTATACTGCTCCTGTCACTGCTCCCCTCTTCGGGGACGCTAGCTGGGCCTGACTCCTCCTCCCTGCTTGCCGGAGGAGACGCTGACTCTGACCTATGGGACTCTTCCCCCCCACTACGCTCCGGTGGGGAAGCTGGCCCTGATTTCCAGCTACTGCTTTGGGAGTCTCCGCTGGCCCCCTGCTTCTGGTGTGTCCCCCCTGGGACCCCCCTTGCCCTGGTCATCGGCGCCCCCTTCTGGGAATCTTCTGATTCACTGGAAAGGCTCATGGAATCTCTCGGGTCACTGTCATTCTGCCCTCCGCTGCCCTCAGATTCTTCCCCTTCGCTCTCCATTTCCTCTCTCCCCTGCGCCTCTGCTCCTGAGCCCCTGACAACAGGTATTGCATATATTGTAGTATAGAACTTCCTACATGTGGTATTGTCCACATTTCCTTCTCTAATATCACACACCATACCACATTCTTCAAGATTAGATGTAGAAATACTATGTAAGTATCTATAGTGAATTTTAATATATCATTTGCATATTCATATACCATAACCTGATTCAGTGGATGCTGCCAGGGAGAGGTTGTGCAAGAAAGTCAATGACTGGGAGATGTGGGTGGAGAAGCCAAGTCAGAGGTGTAACAACTGTAGACTATTAAGTGCTGTTACAAGTGACTCTTTATCTGCTGAGGAAAACGGGCATCTTCCTATGCTATGGACACAGCCCGCTGATGAAAAACATTCTAGTGCATCCCATGTGTCAGGAATCCACAAAGCTCCTAGCCCAACACTAGCATCCTTCAAACATTACTTACATAAACAGGACCCCATGTGATTACTGAGGGACAGGATCACACTACCTGGCAGCACTTATTAGTAAATAATCGTGTCTCAGATGAACCTCATTGGTTATTCATCTGAAGACGAGGCCAAGCACTGGCCCCAGGAGAGGACCTGAAGAACAGGGGGGTATTCTTCCATGCATGCTTTAACATCTTCCTTCCTTGACCCTATTATAAATTATGGGGATATGCAACATTCCCACCAGCACTACCCACTGCGACAGTCTCTCTCACACGTACAAGAAATCTGTCCAGTTCCAAAGTATTATGGAATTTTCAGTATATATCCCCAATATAATTTAAGATTAGTCGTGTAAAATAGCATGTTCAAAAGACTACCTTTTCAATATATTCCTATGAATGAAATGAAGATTCTATTTCAGGTTAGTAAAATCTATAGGGAACCAGAGAATGGTAATCTATTCCACAGTCATGTCTGATAATCAACATGTGTCGTTATCATTGCATTGGAATCCATCTGTCTCAAGAGACAGTGGAGGGGCAAAGTAAAGTAAAACCGCTGTGTTAGCAGCACTAAAGAGATCTCCCCAAGGTGCAAACCTAGGCAGTGTGTATGGAGATCCTGGGTTGCCTAGACATCAAGACTGCCCTCTTGGTCTCGCTGATATGGTCCAATAGAAAACAGAGCAATATGTTTGGCACTAGTTTAGCTGCAGTAGTTGCCAGAGTTGCCTTGTACTTGTACAGTACAAGGTGCTATCCAACTGTCTTAGGGACTCCACTCCGGATTTGTGTAGGGTTTAAGCCTTAGCCTTTTCTTCTCCCAAAGATATCCCACAAGGCAGCGGAGGTTTAGGATCAGAGTTTTCCTTCTCCTAGGTTGGCTACCTACCCAGGTTGACGAGCCCCATCTGCTCCTCACTTCCCTTGACAGCACGTGCCGAAACCGCCTTCTTGACCATTGGACCCACTATTGGTCTTGTCTGCTCAATCCACCAAACTCTGGCTTCGCATGCAGAGGAAGTCCCTGACTCACTGATGGTATGAGACCCATCAGTTACTTTCACCTGGTTTAGCCTAGCTGACCAGTCAAAGCTGTTCCTGCTGCTGTCACATGCTGACAGCTTCTAGGAGTCACAGGTGAGAGCTGAGCAGGGTGGGGACTAAAGGTGGACAAACTACGTCAGAAAAGCATGATATGTTCCCACCAGAGGTACTATCCCTCTCCTAACACCCCATAAACCCTTCAAAAATCCCCACCATTTTAACCAAGACTAGCGTTCGAAACCACCTCAGCCAAATATTCTCACCCTGCTCTAGCTAAGTACAGAGGGCTTTCCTATAGGAACAAAAGTTCCAGTAGCTATGGATTCTCGATATTCAAATTATTAATGAAAACCACAAGCTCTATCTTCTCAATTTTAGCCAAATAATGCCTATTACCTTCTAAAGACAGTTGTCAAGAGGCCATCACAAAAGGTAATGAGATGTGCTCCCCAACCCCAGCAATCTGAACATTCTTTTCTGTTGTAGTCAACAACATCTGCTGTTTGCAACACTATAATGCATGTGTTTATTTGAAATGTTTCTAGCCAACCCTTCATCTAAGGGTTGCAACAAAGATTAAACAAGTTAAAACGAAACAGTTCATAAAACCACAAAGAAACAGTCTACAATATGTACAATCATCAAATATCCATAAGGCTGCAGAGCATCCCTTAGGCTGGAAAAAAATAGCACCCTACAAATGCCTGGACAAATAAACGTGTTTTAAAGCTGAGCTGAAATAAGATAATGGCCAGAGCCAAGACCTGGGAGGAAAGGGATTCCATAAATGGTAGACATTCTACTAACTATGCTACTTTTAAGAGGTAGAGAAACCCACACAATAGCCTTGAACATACTGTACTGTACTTCATACTGTTCAAAGTAAACTCACCTCCTCAATTTCTCCAATGGGTATTTGTTGTCCTATTCTGGCATCACATTCTTTACTGCCTAAGAAATGCACAGGCACCTCAACAGATTTTCTTGTTATCAACATACTCCCATTGTTGAACTCTCACATTTGTTGATGGCAGAGTCCACATATCCTTAACAGATACATGACACACACAAACTCAACAGGTACAGCTTCCTTTTCACTAGCATAAAGCTGAACCATTGTAAATAGTTTCACCTCTTCTAGCTAGGAACCATATCAGAAGAGAGACCCAAGCATTGAATGCTATTAGTAACTCTAAGCAAAAACAAAACAAAACAAAAAACAGGTCAGATATTTCCCTACCAAAATTATTTCACTATTAATATACTTCTTAATTGTACAGTCATACTTTGGGTTACAGATGCTTCGGGGGGGGGCAAGAGAGTGGGGCCCTGAGCTATAACTTGTTTAAAGGTAAAGGGACCCCTGACCATTAGGTCCAGTCATGGCCGACTCTGGGGTTGCGGCGCTCATCTTGCTTTATTGGCCGAGGGTACAGCTTCCAGGTCATGTGGCCAGCATGACTAAGCCGCTTCTGGCGAACCAGAGCTGCGCACGGAAACACCGTTTACCTTCCCGCCAGAGCAGTTCCTATTTATCTACTTGCACTTTGACGTGCTTTCAAACTGCTAGGTTGGCAGGAGCAGGGACCGAGTAACGGGAGCTCACCCCGTCACAGGGATTCAAACCACCGACCTACTGATCAGCAAGTCCTAGGCTCTGTGGTTTAACCCATAGCGCCACCCGCGTGTTAAGCTTGTTTAGCTTATACATAAAGCAATGACAAACCTAGACAGCATTCTAAAAAGCAGAGACATCACCTTGCCAACAAAGGTCCGTATAGTTAAAGCTATGATTTTCCCAGAAGTGATGTATAGAAGTGAGAGCTGGACCATCAAGAAGGCTGATCAGTGAAGAATTGATGCTTTTGAATTATGCTGTTGGAGGAGACTCTTGAGAGTCCCATGGACTGCAAGAAGATCAAACCTATCCATTCTGAAGGAAATCAGCCCTGAGTGCTCACTGGAAGGACAGATACTGAAGCTGAGGCTCCAATACTTTGGCCACCTCATGAGAAGAGAAGACTCCCTGGGAAAGACCCTGATGTTGGGAAAGATGGAGGGCACAAGGAGAAGGGGACGACAGAGGACGAGATGGTGGGACAGTGTTCTCGAAGCTACCTGCATGAGTTTGACCAAACTGTGGGAGGCAGTGGAAGACAGGAGTGCCTGGCGTGCTCTGGTCCATGGGTCAAGAAGAGTCAGGCATGACTAAACAACTAAACAACAACAAAGCAAGGTATTTGTTTTTGTTCCACATTCCTAGTCTTTGCATTAGAAGAACTCACTAAAGGACTCCTTTGAACCTTAAAAATGTATCCCCACACTTAATTTCATATGCTCCCTGCCACCTCTATTTCTTCACTCGTTCACCTTCTTTTTCACAATATCCGTTCTAATATACTTCAAATTTCTGATTCATAACAGGCCTTTTCATTGCAATAGCATTGCCATGCATCTGTCTCAAGAGACAGTGTGCCTCTGAGGGTGAAGTCAAACCATTGGCATTAGTAGCCTGGGCAGTGTGTCTGGAGGTCCTGGGCTGCAGAGGCGTAGGAAGGTCGGGTGGTACCAGTGTTCTCAAATCTACTAACATGAGTTTGACCAAACTGCGGGAGCCAGTTGAAGACAGGAGTGCCTGGCGTGCTCTGGTCCATGGGGTCACAAAGAGTCGGACGCGACTAAACAACAACAAGCAGAGCTTATCCATTCAAACCTATCCATTCTGAAGGAAATCAGCACTGAGTGCTCCTGGAAGGACAGATCGTGAAGCTGTGGCTCCAATACTTTGGCCACCTCATGAGAAGAGAAGACTCCCTGGAAAAGATCCTGATGTTGGGAAAGATGGAGGGCCCAAGGAGAAGGGGATGACAGAGGACGAGATGGTTGGACAGTTTTCTCAAAGCTACCAGCATGAGTTTGACCAAACTGCGGGAGGCAGTGGGAGACAGGAGTGCCTGGCGTGCTCTGGTCCATGGGTCACTAAGAGGCGGACACGACTAAACAACAACAACAAATCCGGCACTGGTCCACCTCCCCGACCTAAATTCTGCCTACCTGCCCCCACACCTAACACAAATCCTGCCCGTGCTCTGTACCACAATAGAGGAAACAACCCCCACCCGTTTTCCCCCCTTCGCGAATTCGTGGCGTCCCACAGCGAGCGCCACACCGGCGGGCATGTTTACTTCGCGCAAAGCCCCACCGAGAACCAAGAAAACAGGGGCAAGCTGGTCACATTTCGAGATTTCCGCCTCAGCGGGAGCCTCCCGCCCCCCGGGAGAAACTTTTCCACCCGCGCCCTCGCTCACCTGCCCGGCACCCGGGACGCGTTCCGCTTCCAGAACTGCTTCCTACCCGCGTCGCTCGCCATCTTCCCGTCACCTCATAGCCTTTTTCACCCGGAAAGCGAGAGCCCCCGCCGCCGCCGCGGCCTCGAGCGAAGGGACGCCCAGAGCCAGACCGGGGGCCCCGACCGTTATTCCCCACCCCCGCCCCAAAGCCGAGCGCCGCGGCCCTCACTCCATCCCTGCCCCTCTTCTCCCTGTCAGAAAGCAGCGCGCCGCCATCTTGGCACCACGCAACAACCCCTCTCCCCATTGGCTGCCGGGGAACAGCTGTCGACTACGCCCAGTCGCGAGTGAGCGTACTGCCCGGCCTGTGGGTTTTTTCGGTTATCGCCCAATCAAAATCCTCGAGTCAGATCTGAGGAGGAGCTGGAATTTCGGCCAATTGGAAGGTGTTATAGCCTTCGCTGTTTCTCGGCTATTCATTGGCGGAACTCCCTGGCGCCGCTTGACCCCGCCTACTCTGAAGTGGCTATATTTTGCCTGGAGGCGCTTGGCGTCTTTACAGCTGAGCGCTGATGAATCGGCGTCAATTAGACGCTAGGACTCAAAAACACCTCTTATAAAATAGTCAAGTTCAAAGGGGTTTGGCTTGCGCCACCCGCAAGCATCTGATATGCACTTCCTTCATGCCTTGATTCTTTTCTCTGGTTTCCAAGAGCTACTTCAATATTTTAATGTTGTATTTTAATTTCGTTTTTAAGTTGTATTCATTCAACTTATTTTTATTATTGCTTGTTAGCCGCCCTGAGCCCAGCCTTGGCTGGGGAGGGCGGGGTATAAATAAAAATTATTATTATTATTACTTAAACATGCATTAAAAAATATTATTGTTTTGTTATTTATTGTATTTGTATTCCACCCTTCCTCTGGAGATCTCAGGGCAGTTCACAGCATAAAAAGGCAAGATAAAAGCACAAAATTCATAATAAAAACAACAGAACAATAACTCCTACCAACACAATAACATGGTACAGGGTTGGCTCATTTATTATATTTTATTATTAGTTGTAATTTATTGAATTTATATACCGCCTTATACCCGGGGGTCTCAGGGCGGTTCACAGAATAAAATCAATATATAAAATCACAAAATACATAATAAAAATAAAAACAACAACCCAATTGCCCTCCCCCCCCCAAAAAAAACACTTTTTGAAAGAGCATAGGATGTAAATCAGATCAACCAAAGTATTATTATTATTAAACCCCTCTCTTGGGGGTGATTGATTGATTGTATAGGGAAGTTTTTTAAGGTTTGATGTTTTACTATGTTTTTATATAGGATGGAAGATGCCCAGAGTGGCTGTGGCAACCCAGTCAGATGGGTGGGGTACAAATAATAAATTATTATTATATTATTCCCATGCTCGCCAACATTTCTCTGATTAAATGAGGGACGTCCTAAGGAAAGCAGGAAATTCTGGGATCAAATCAGAAACCATGACGACATCTGTAAATCCAGGACTGACCCTGGAAAACAGGAACACTTGGAGAGTCCGGTATATTGTTATGAATTTGGGACAGTGGTTGGAGCAGACTCCTCATAATTCCTGGATTTAGTAAAAGTCAGACTTAATGAAGTTTTGATCAAACTTTGTCAAATACAGAAACCCACGTGGGCCTCGCAATGATTTATGTTAGGGGCATGCTTTATGTTGGGTTATCTGTGATGTGATTGGTCAGTTAGTTAAGTATTTTTATTTATTTACTTGACTGCCCAAGTCCATGTAAACCGCCTGGATTTAGTTATGCAAAGAGCCAAGTCAGTTGAGCAGAGCTAGCTGGATGGGCCATCAGGGAACAAATGCCAGTGATGGCCCATCAACGAACCCCTCAGAGAGAAAGACTGCCAGGCAAAGGGGAGTGGGGCCCTTCATTGCTGGGTGCTAGTGGGCAAAGGGTTTCAGTTTTGAGAGCCAGTGGTTAGAGTCAGGGGCGTCTTACCCATAGAAGCTAGTGGTGCCAGGGCGCCAAGTTCTGGAGGGTGCCAGGGAAGAGGCGGAGGCTGGATGTGGCGCCTCCCTGCATCAGCTCACCGCCCTCACCCGCCTCCACCATGCCGCGCCAAAGCAGCACCGCGCCCTGAGCCTCCGCCTGCCATGGCCACTGTGGCACGAAGTGGGCAGCTGAGCCGGGAGGCACCACGTTCAGCCTCCACCTCTTCCCTGCTGGAGGAGCCGCCCTCCAGCCGCTGCCCGCCTCCTCTAGCCCTGCTAGCAGCGCCATCCTCCCTAAACAAACCTCTGGGAAATGGGGTGGGGCGCCGGAGGGATCTTTGCACCATGGTGCCGGATATGCTTAAGACGGCCCTGGTTAGAGTGGTGGACTAGGACCTGGGAGACCAGGGTTTAAATCCCCACTCAACCATGAAGCTCACTGGGTGACTTTGAGTCAGTCACTCTCAGCCTAAGCCTACCTCCAGGGGTCAGCAACCTAAGGCCCAAGGGCCACAAGTGGCCTGTGGGGGCCCATGGACCCCCGCCACCCGCTCGGCTCCCTTGCGCTGCGCTAAACCAGTGCGGAGTAGAGCAGGGACTGCCTTCCGTCACTCTGGCCGGCTTCCCATTGGCTGCAGGAAGCTCCTGCAGCCAATGGGAAGCTGTGCATGCCTCCTCCATGCTGAAAGGAGCGCCGGAAATAGCGTTTGTGCATGTGTGCGCGCACACTCACGCACTCTGGCCCACCGCCGCATCTGCGGGACTGTGAACCGGCCCAAGCCACAAAAACTTTGCCGACCCCTGCCTACCTTGTGGGGTTGTTGAGAGGATAAAAATGGAGTAGAGGAAGAAGTGTGTGAACTCTTTGGAGGAAAAGTGGGGTGTAAATAATAGTAGTAATAAATGAAATAAATAAACTTTGAACGAGGTAGGCTGGGGGACGTTGGTTAGCAGCAAGAAGGAGAAAGAGGGACAGAATTCTCCTTACGCGGGGCTACCCTTGAAGCTGTCCCAGAAACTCCAGGAGGTGCAGAATGCAGCAGCGAGGCTCCTCACAGGGTCTCTGCCATGGGAGCATATTCACCCAGTCCTTTTCAAGCTGCATTGGCTCCCGGTGGAGTACAGGGTCAGATTTAAGGTGCTGCTTTTGACCTTTAAAGCCCTTCACGGCCTAGGACCCTCGTACCTACGGGACCGCCTCTCCTGGTATGCCCCACGGAGGACCTTAAGGTCCATATATAGCAATACCCTAGAGGTCCCGGGCCCTAAGGAAGTTAGATTAGCCTCAAGCAGAGCCAGGGCCTTCTCAACACTGGCTCCGGCCTGGTGGAATGCTCTGTCTCTTGAGACCAGGGCCCTGCGGGATCTGATCTCTTTCCTCAGGGCCTGTAAGACAGAGTTGTTCCACCTGGCCTTTGGCTCAGAATCAGTTTTTCTTTTTCCTTTCTCCTCCTATGATGAGATTGCCCCCTAATTGTTTTAACGTTGTATCTTAATCTTTTAAATTGTATTTTAATCAACTTGGTTTTATTATTGGTTGTTAGCCACCCTGAGCCGGGTCTTGGCTGGGGAGGGCGGGGTATAAATAAAAAATTATTATTATTATTATTATTATTATTATTATTATTATTACTCCATGTGAGCAGGCTGGAACCAGGAAACACAGAGGATGGCTTTTGGCAGTCCTTTCAATCCAGTGCTGCCCGTAAGAGGGAAGCCAGACCCTCATAGGATGTGAATGCTCTGCAATCTCTCCATCTAGGGGCAGGTTGTATGTTGGTGTAAATAAAACCATATATCATAAAGGCACCACGGTCTCTGCTGTGCCTAATTCCCCCAAAGGGAAGACAGATCCTGGTAAGTACGCCTGCAACCCCTGAAATCTCGCACCGCTTCTGGAGATTGGGGTGGCATGTAAGAATATGAAAGCAACAAGCGTTGGAAGATTTTGGGGGGAAAGAGCAGGAACTTATCATTGCTGGCTTAAAAGGCTCTCAGGTGGCTTTCTGAAAGGAGAAAGTGCAGGTTGATCGCCATACCGATTATTGGGTAATGAAACCTAAGGCACAACGGGTTCTGCTTAAATTTTGGCCAGCGCTGGGCAGTCACAGCCTTGCAGTTAATTTATTGGCAAAGCAGCTCTTGCTTGGTCGGTCTACTCCCTTTTACTGTTAAGGCTGCAATTCTAAGCGTGGTTGAATAGAAAACAGATTGCTTCTACAGTACTTGGATATGGCATTGTTAGGACAGGGGGAAGTTGTTCAAAAGTGAAATGGCTGTGTAAAGAAAGATGCTTTCAGCTCCAGCTGCTTTCAGGCAGCCTGATCCTCTGTAGAGTCGGTGACCCTTGGCACATTACTTAGAGCGTTTCATTATTACAACACGATATTACATCTTTGCAAACAAGGCCACAAAAGTTGCTAGTCTGCAGAAAGTGATACTAGATTTCTAGAGTCTGGCAGAGGAAGGACAGAAAACTCTCCTTTTCCTATTACAGTGGTACCTCGGGTTAAGTACCGTATTTTTCGCTCTATAAGACACAGCAGACCACAAGACGTGCCTAGGAGGAGGAAAACAAGGGAAAAAATATTCTGAATCTCAGAAGCCAGAACAGCAAGAGGGATCACTGCGCAGTGAAAGCAGCAATCCCTCTTGCTGTTCTGGCTTCTGGGATAGCTGCGCAGCCTGCATTCGCACCATAAGACGCACACACATTTCCCCTTACTTTTTAGGAGGGAAAAAGTGAGTCTTATAGAGCAAAAAATACGGTACTTAATTCGTTCCGGAGGTCCATACTTAACCTGAAACTGTTCTTAACCTGAAGCACCACTTTAGCTAATGGGGCCTCCTGCTGCCGCCGCACCACTGGAGCACGATTTCTGTTCTCATCCTGAAGCAAAGTTCTTAACCTGAAGCACTATTTCTGGGTTAGCGGAGTCTGTAACCTGAAGTGAATGTAACCTGAGGTGTATGTAACCCGAGGTACCACTGTACATTTCTGCAGCATGTGGTTGAAAGGGCTTCCCTCCTTTGGAAGCCAACTTGGTTTCCATGCTTGGCACCAGGGAAGGATGATAAACTCCACCTCTCCTCTGCCACCCTGCTCACTCACCGCTCTGGAATTCCTTGCTAGCTTTCGCCACAAGGCGTGTACTTTAAATACATGCCTGACCTGAATATGGCCAGGTGGTATCACTTGTAGCAAATAGATTCAGCATGCTTTGCTGTAATACTGTATATTTTGCTGCCAGAGCTGGCATAAAGTCAGTGTAATTAAAATTAAAAGACAGGCAC